CCCTATTCGGTGAAGTAACGAGGTAATGTTAGACGTCCGGACAACAATTTCGCTGCTAATTGGCAGCACAGACGAATTAAAGGGACAGCCCCTTCATTAACGTGTGCGTTAACGTTCGCGAAGTACCAACTATTTGTGGGGTTACATAAGGTTACGAATAAATTGTCAGTTGTACATAAAGACTTGGTGAGAGATTACCGTTATGAAATTGGGACTACTTGACATTTCCCTTTAGAATGGTCTCAATTTAATACATCACACTCATCGACTATGTCGTAGTATGCTAGAATAATTATTCTAAAGTCCACTCTCACGGTACAATGTGTTCACTTAAAAATTGAACAAAATTGCATTCGTGCGACAACTCGATTACTGATCGTAAACCAGTATATTTATACCGCGAGTATTTGAATAACGAATGCGGTCCGTCATTCGAAATACGTCAACGGAGAGCGCAGATACAGTTTGGCTGTGAAATATAAATAAATAACGGCTTTTTAAAATTAAATTACACGTCTTCCTGTATTGTCTGTACAAGCAGATGGCATTTGCATAAGCAATTCCACCCTTGAAATTTTTAAATGAAGAAGTTACTATTCGTGGACTGTTTATTTACGAATCTCTTCAAAATAAATATCTTTTAACACGTGGCCTAATTTGATTTTCCTCTGATTTAACTTAAAACAAATCATTCCTACGTATAGCTTATATACATTACACAAACTTATAGTCGACAAATTTATAGGTAAAGAAAAAAAATTTATAGACAAATTATAAACTAAAGAATAATTATATCGCTTAGTAAGTAATTTCACAAAATTATGTTTTGACACTTTAAAACCACTGACATTTATATTTTAAATGCCATTCTTCAAATTTAAAGTACGCACATATTTATCAAACCAGCACGAGACAAATGAGACGTTACGTCATAAGTGAGGAATCTGTATAATAAATGTTCTTATCATTTTTCAAGAATCAACAATATTCAAAATTTTTGGGTTATTTTGCATCTAATGTTTATTATTGCTCCGCACTTGTCTATGTTGTTAACAATTTAACTTTGAGTATATCAAATCGAGTTTTAGACAGTTATTTCATTAAATGGGTTAGTAAAAGAAGAGTAACAATTAACAGTTGATGCAAAAAAAAATCTTAGATATAGATATAGATAGCTATACGAGCATATGCAAACTATACCCGGGTTCGAAGCCGAGTGGGTTAAGTATGAAACGACACATAGTAATTCAAAAAAGACAGTTTACCCATGACAATATTGATCATAAACAAACTGAATTTAAATAATAATAATAATAAAGGTGTCATCGACATTAATGTCATCTCTAAAGAAGAAAATCTTTCTCAAATATCTCGATCAATCTCCCAAAGCGCCACTGACAGTAGCGAACTCGCCAGTCTATACCAGTCAAATACATACTTATTGTATTATGTTTTAAAATCCAATCCATGAAACTATAATTATTCACCAACAGACAAAATATATGAACAGAAAAAACTGTACGTTACGTAAATATCGCTTAATTCGAAGATATATATAAGTTCGTAGATCATAGTTCGTAAACGCGCCAAAATTAAGCCATTACAATCATATGCGAACTGAATGTAATTCTAACACAAGCGGACGATAAATTTCAAGTTCGGATAAACAATATTATTAGACGAGAATCGCGTTCATAAATTTCATTTGAAAAATAAATCTTCGCGTAGCTGATCACAGACCACACCTATCACGCTGATCTATTATCGTTTGAGTTATTTCTATTAGCTAACCGTCGACACGGCCAGTTTAAAGGCCTAAACTTGTTTCATATATGCTAATCAGCTGAATAAGGAAGATATTTTTACGATAAGATGAGCCTTCATAAAAAGGTCATCAAACCTCTAGAAATGAAAAATTACTTTCCAGGATGGATTCCAGCTTTATTTGCACTAGATTTCGCCTATCAAATTCAAAATTGATAGAACGAAAACCTTTGTATTGGTTTAAGCATTGACTTAATGTCAATTCTAATAGTACTTACTGATCGGACCGAAAGTTTTTGAAAGAAAAATCTAATGTAACAAATAATGAAAATTTTATGACGAACGTTAAACAAGATGATGATATTACATTTGCCACAAATCGACCGCGAACCCAAAAGCATTTCAACGCGCCAAACATTATCTGATTTATGGATTTCCGAAGGAATGCGCTCTAAACAAAAATGATTGTAATAGCATAGTAAAGTATTATGAGAACAAACAATCAGCTATGTTGGAAATATGCCAGGAATCTGCCTTTTGCCTCATTCATGTCCGTCATTCATAGAAGTTGTATAACTAAAATCTCAATCATTGTCGAACAAAAAAAATCGATACCGTTCAATTATTACAAGCAATGATCGCCATAATTTTTTTAAAGATTTTATGAAGTAAAAGTCACATAGTTTTACTGTAACTGTTTAACATTAGCCACGTTTGTTTCTGCTCTCTAAACAGTTCGCGCGTTGTTTAGTTACACATCTTATCGCTTGTAATTAAACAACACATATTCACCAATTCCACCATTGTGGTTGGAGTTGTTGAATATTTGTGGATTGTGATCCATATTGCGAAGATTCTAATCAGAAGTAACAAATATACCCAATCACAATCCCGAGTCCATACGTTGTTATAACATTTTCATTTCTAAAAATAAACGTCAATCATTGCGCACGCGGCTCGGTTGAATAAAAACGTAATCAATATACGCTATTCGCAGACGTTGTAAAATTTATTTTTATTCAGTTATAAAAGTTGTTTAGTTAACTGTGACTCGCCCTTGAAATAGCTGACTCGTTGACTTTCAATTATTCCAGCGTTAAAAGAGTTTAGGTTCGTTAGTATGAGCTTCGAAAATTCTGGTAATAAATAAAAACAACGCTTTGATAGATATTCGCTTTCTCAGTTACAGATTTGATTGGAATAAATGTTTCTTAGATTGTTTTTGAGAATAAATATTTTGTATCCAAAAATATTTTGTTTGGAAAGAACGTGCGTACTACGTCGCGATGCCAGTATCGCCGCAATAGCTATTATCTCGCCTTCGTATGTTTACTCGGGCTCAATGTTTTATTAACATACAGCCTATCTGTGCACGAAAAATGTGCGAGTATAAAAAATTTCGGAATATTCAGATCCAATTTAAAGTAAACGGAGTTTTATCCGTTAAAAGTTATCCTTTAGAGAATTATAATAAGCTAATAAATTGTCATAATTCTTAAAACAAATTAAATTTTTTGATTATTAAATGTCCTGAAGTTGTTCGCGTAATAACCGTATTCAATCGATTGTTTTTGGGGTGAAGCAATAAAGTCTGGCTCATTTGCAAGTTTGCATTGAGACTCTGATTTTCGCACATCACTAACGTACAGATTAAAATGCTTTTGTGTGTGACCTCATTCGTGTAAAGTGTTACAACACTATTATATTTTCCAAAGACACTTCGTAAATAGGTTGTCCTTAAGCTTCACTATTGTAGTATGAACCCATGTCGAGCATACCACGCATTCTTTCTCGGAAACCAAGTTGTACAACAGTGGAAACTCGATTTCAATCTGTTCGGCTTTACGTGATCCGTGCACAAATACACAAGCTGACAGGAATTCCAAGTTTCTGATTTAATTCACGTATCTCCTATGGTCGTAGCTTCGTTAATACCCAACGGCGTAGTTATTGTTAATTTTGATATTCTCTCAGGAATAATAAGATATATATATATATATATATATAGGTATTTTATTCTTTAAGAAATTTTCAATGGTTCGCGTATATACGAGTACGAAATCATTGTGATAATACAATTTATTACACTTGTAATAAATCTATGGCCAATGATGTAGACTAAAGTTATTTAAGAATGTATTAATAAGTCCTCTCATATCTCTTCGCAATTCTTTAACAAGAAAACGGTCTCTTCACATATGTCTGAAAATTGTGATTGAACCATGACATTAACAATTTCTAGTGATACCTCATCATGTGCTTAGCTGTTAAGGAAAAATTCACATAAAAACTTGCATATTGTCGAAACAATAATGACAATAAAAATAATAATATTGCGAAGTTATATAAAGTCCGATAATCCGCGGTGGGTCGATGGTAGTCTGTAATAATACCCTCTGTACAGAGCAGGCCTCTGTCCAGCAGTGGGACATCTATATGTCCCACTGCTGGGCAGGGGCCTGCTCTGCTCTTTCAGAACATCAAAAACAAGTAAAAGCCTATGCTTTTACTTGTTTTTGATGTTCTGATACCTCTTGATACGTGCGATCAAACTGTGACATTTTTACATGATGGGACGATCAAAAACAACAACATCAGGAATAATTAATTACGCCAATCGCAAATATGATCCTTGTGTAACAAAGTACGTTATCCTTATCAACCAACGTCAATGTTCATATCAATCCCCGTTCGTACTTCGCGATTTAATGGCAATTCAGGGTCAACTGACTGGTTCCAACTGAAGAATACTAGGTATACCCAACGTATTAGAACGTTCGCGGTAGTCAATTAGGCGGTTCATTCTAATTCTCCTGTAAAGTGCGTTAATAATAGCAATTCTTGACTAACCTCTGATCAACAGAACTTTAGATTATCATAGTAAACGCCATGACAAACTCTTGACTTGTCATTCATTAGCTCCCTGGTAATGAACGCATCGTCTTTAACGAACGAACTTTATTCTATAATAAGTTTAACAGTCACAAAAAATAATGTGTTCTCAAAAACTGTTTATATTAAATTTTCCGAAGATTAAATTTCATTGTATTATTATGGATCGGTAGAGCTTGTTAAGTATTATTTATTTATTTTAAAACAGGAAGCATTCAGATTATTTTATTTTGATTTATAAATAAAAGAAACTCTGCGAGAATAATACGCACTGTTCTTTCCGGACAAATTAATATTTGTCTCGTGGAAGAAAAGAAGAAATCGGTGAAACGAAGAAAACCAAAATGACGAATATTTCACTAATACTTCTCCTGATATTTGTGATGGTGAGTAAAAAGGATCATTTTATGCCATTTCATCCATTTAGTTTCAAACACAGTGACAAGGCGAACGTCCAAAATCATTATCAATGAGTAAATTATTGTAAATTGCCACGCTGTCTAGACGCTCAATTTCCAATGATTGTGGTCACCTAGTGTTGATTAGGAAATTTGCGAATGTCATGACACTTGTTATAGATACGTGGTGTCAATTTGTGTGACGCGTCCCTCAATTTACAACAATTCCCGTATCAATTTTATAAGTCCATTGCATATAATATAGTGATTTAGATCCAACACATATGCAGATGTATAACTATTCAGGTGGTAATTGTATCGACCTTGTTTCAATAAACAAAACATGTAACGCACACAAAAAGTTTTAGTTCAAAATTCGTTTGAGAAAACCCGAGAATAAATTTACGCGCGTCGCCTCATTTGCTGGTCGTAAAGTTTGACATTGAGATTGTTGGTTCGTTTTTAGTACCAGGAAATCAACATTATTGTAGTCAAATACCGCGGTGGTTCTAAAGCATTATTCAGTGATTGCTTTACGAGCGATGCGTTCCTTGTTTTAACTATATCATCCGCTATATTTAATAAGGCGTGTTGGCGCCATCCCAGTCACAGGATATATTTGGTCTTCACAGGAGAATTCAATTAAGTTATGATTGGGATAGCTAAGATTCAAAGTTATTGGTAAAATACGTAAAGATTATCATTTATATAACGAATTGTAATGAATCGTAATCGTAACGAATTGTAATGAATCGTAAATCTTATTTTAAAGGGGAAGGAAAATATGAACATATTTATGGCTTAAGCTATTGGTTGTGATTAGAAATAAATAATTTATTCGATTTGAATCCATAATCTCAACTGGTCTTATTAACGCTATTTTATTATGAATAATAATTGATCACCTGCTAACACTTATATAAGGTACTGCACCTTTTAATGTGTGAATCGTAAATTATTTTGATAACGATCTCTGGTTAAAAGTGTAACGACTGGCAACCCGACCCATATGCTAACATTGCTAATCTCGACTTCAAAAACATTGGTATGGGGTACGAAAAAAGATTTACCGCCGAGTTGATTTAATTAACGGACAGCTATGTAAGCGATGTGTGTAATTTCACGCGCATCCCATACTAGGCCGCACATTATAATATCTGCCTGTATTTACACATTTGCAATAAGTATTATTGTATTGCACGATAAACACGATTCGACCCAGTTGGTCGATGTAAGCTGCACATGGGTGTTTGCATAGTCGCCTCGTCGCACCGAGCCACCTTTGTCTCACTCGCCGACTGAGACTGAATGGCTAATTTAGAATTCCACTTATCTGATTCAGTTGTTCAGTCGACCTGAATATTCGGTCACATAAATTTCATGCCCGCGTCACTGTCGATTGGAATTCCATTGTTTCTTTAACAGACATTATCAGGATTATACAGATGCTTCACTGGAGTCTGTGCGGCTCCCAGTTGGTATCAGCTCATTGGGTTACGGACCCAGGCTTTTAGTTTAGGTGTTAGTTTATCAAAATTTGTTTTTTTTTTTAAACTGGATGACGTTTATTTCTCACTTACCACATTCAACAATCTTTTTCGTAATTACTCGTAAGACTTCAAACTAATGTATTTGCTCCGATTTATTCTTTATACGAACTAAAGTATAAATCTGCGATGTATCGCAATGAAAATAATGTATTATACTGAAAATAAATTAAAATTATAGTTAAAATATGTAAAAAAAAGGCAGACTTATTAATTCTCACTTCTCATTAATGAGTTTTTGCGCGTCTTGATGTGTAAATTCTTTGCTAGTCGCTCTAACCCTTGGCTTTTCCTTTCTGCCGCTTAGCTTAGTTGGTACAGCGTCTGGGCGCAAAACCAGAAGACGCGGGTTCGAATCCCTCAGCGCCATAAGTTTTTGTTCATTTATCTTTAAAAAAAACACTATTAAAAATACCATATAGTTTTAATAGAAATATAAATAAAATAAACAAGACCATGATGGTATTAGAATCGATTATAGACTAAAATCTATTCCTTGTTGATTATTTTTTTAACGAAAACTAAATTATTTACCTTGGTCTTACTACCATACCTATGTAACTTAGAGTTAATAAAATAGAGACGTGGACTCTATCTCTGAACTAGACAGGTTCGCTTCATATTCGTTCTAATTTGTTTCAAAAGCAAAACATTACAGAGCGTGTAAATTATAATTTAGATGTCCATATGTAGTAAGCATTATCTAAATAGATGGCACGAGTGATTTCCATTTGTGGTCATTGGCTAAACATATACACACATATTAAGCCGCTCAGTCCTCCCATTTCTAAACAATTTGATGTATTGATGAATATTTTAACCACCACCGGTCCGTAGGGAGCCGCTAAACTACCTCTGAATAATACCCCCGAGCCGGGGAAGTCAACTAAGCTAATAAATTTATAATTCCCAGCCAGCCAACCTCATTGCATATGATAATGGAAAGTCAACTAGACTGGTCTAGTTACAATAATAAGACGAAGCCGCGCTGTAATTTCTGTTAGTAGTGATAGCCGTCGTTTAAATTCAATTTTAATTTGGCCCGAAACAATGTAATGCAATAGTGCACCTTTGTTCTCGGTAACTTGAGTTCTAATTGCGTTAATCTCCTTAAAAAAGATGCATAGTCTAACTTACCAACATTTGACTTTATGTTAGTTAACGTTAAGCTGGAGTTTCCTTTACAAATATACGAGTATTTACCTAACAAGTGCGTTAACCTACGACACAGATGGGTTAACGGTCAAGTACCAGCCATTATGTTAAATAATAAAATGGCTTCCGTGTATGTAATGTTGAATTATCGCCGTATATACCTGAATATTTATAGTCACTGACATGGTCATCTCCAACTTTGTTCCCACCTCACCGCCAGTTTTTATCTGTGACTCCTCTACTATCGGGTGGCCGAAATGCTCGTTTGCCTCCTTTTCTACAAAAAAAAAATATTTCAGTCATTGACAACGTAGTACAGCATATACTGCAGAAACATTGTACTGTTATTTTCAATGGTCGTTTTAGCCGCAATGTTGCTGCATATGTCCAACAACCTTGTGATCTTTTGTTGACATTTATGACACATACCCCGGTCTATGAGTGCAATTACATACCCTAAACGTTTCGGCCTCGCCCGTGCTTGTGAGCTTTGTACCATACAAGACAATTGCTTGTAATAGTGTACCATCGTGCACTAAAATTGAGGGATATACTCACTCCAGATGTATAAGACTCGAAGTCAATGTATCCAACGCTCGGTGTAAATGATTCAAGTAATTTAGCTTACTTCGAAAATGTAGAGTAAAGAATTTTTATTGGCCGTATCGCGGTCAAGTCAAAGCCTTTAAATTGAACCGACGTCGTTACCATTTTAAGCATTAATGTCTCCAAATAAATTCGTCCGAAGCAAACAATAATAAGTGGGATTTATGTGGGCGTATCACGCTTTGGATGGTACTGTACGTAGAGACAAATGTTTCAATTCATTAAGTAGCAGGTTTCTTTGTTGAAACCTGATATTACAAATTTATTTTATCCCCCAATATCTATTAATTAACTACAGTCGACCCAAAAGCATTTTTAAAGAACCAAGTAATCGCATTTCATAAAATTCCTGGTGAAAGTATTTCAATAGTTAATTGAAGGCACATGATCTATTTCCCACCAGGCAATTTGAAAATAGCTAACTCAAATATATCCAACAGGCACGCTATTATAACAGTAGTAGTGACAAATTAAAATGACATAGTAAAAGGCTTTTATACTCATATTAAAATAATTCGATTAGCAAAATTAATGTTCTATATTATTGCTACAATTTAATTCTAACACTTTTTAAAAGACTTTATTAACATCTCAATTTCAAAATATGACCTATTTATACAGAAATCAATAAAGAACTCGTTCCCTTTCCCATTATACACTTTTATATTATCATCCTTCGATGCCACTTTCGCCTAATCGTCATTCATTGGTCGTTTCTTAACTGCATTCCGGTTTTAAGTAATCATCACATTACCGCCCGCAACTGATTTGAGCTTTCTATAGAAATAATTGACGTTCGAACAATTAGAAAACGGGAGTTCCGTACGGCACCGTAGCCGAAATGTTATCGTCACTTATGATTGTGTAACTTTTATGATTACGACAGTAGAACAGGACACATCTCTCGTTTCAAATATTCATTGTCAAATGTTATTTGTAAGGTATTTCATGCTGGAAAGTATGTACAATTAATGGCGCCAAGCAACACTAAAAATGCCATAAAGTACATGCAGAGATTTTCGCCACGTTAGGTCAGCAGTCGCTCAGCGCCGAGGTACAGGCTAGGCGCCTCGTGCGCCAGGCCACCTCAAGTCCGTCGGATCTGTAAAGGCCCCTAAGGCCAACAGTGGCTCATCCAGCCCAAAAAAAAAAAAAAAAAAAAAAAAAAAAAAAGTCGCTCAGTTTAGTTGGTAAAGTCTAGTCGCATGACCCTTAATCTTATCGTTTATAGACAAAAAAATCACAATTTCAGTTTTATTGACTCAAAATTTAAACGATTGATTCTGAAAAATGGACCGCTTCACAGGACAATACATTTTAAAACAATCATTTCGCTTTTCCTTAATACAAAATAATTATTTTAATTACACATTTACAGACACGTCGCATTCGAGGGCAAAATAGAAACATCAACATATGTTTACACGTAACAGTTGCCCAACGTATATAAAAAATAAAATAAAAGTCGCATTAGCTAAAAGCCAGATTCGTTACTTCAAATGAATCATGGCACTCTTAAAAAATAACAAAGTTCCCGCGCGTTTGGCGATTGAAGCGGCTCAGGCGCCGCCCAACTCAAGATTTAGACGTCGTTATCTTGTTGCGGGCTCATAAAATTGACATTACTATTCACTAATGTTCCACACGCATTAGTGTCGCATTAAACGTTACGAAATGATGTAAGCGTGCATTATGGTCAAATGCATTTTTCTGTTGGCGCTGTTTTTTTTTCTGATGTGCAATGTTTCTTAGGCACTTGACGCCGATGTGGGATACGAGTTAATGCTACCGTTGCGGTCTATTTGATGACACTTGAAACGTAAACGTCGAGACAGCTATAAAGGTCGTGAATAAATAAGGTCACAGCGTTTACGGAAACGGTTTCTGCTACTACACGTTTTTTTGGGGATAATTTTAGATTTTCACGAATGACAGCCATGTTGCGCTCCATGTTTAATATGACAGCTTTAAAGTTTACGATAACAACAACTTTATTATTTTATTAAGCCCCTTAATCGATAAACAGGCGTCGTATAATTTATCAATTAGTCAGGCTAATACTTGTGATGTTAATCAAACTACTGTATGTTGAAAACATCCGCCACATAACTTACTACTAAGTAAAAAATACACTAGACTTAAAAAAGGAAGAATCATTAAAAAATACTTTATGTATTTTTATTACTAATATTTCATTATTTTCGTTTATAATCCAACAGCAATAAATATATATATAATTAATTTATGCACAATCATAGATGCAATATTTATTAAATCCTCAGCATGAAACTAAAACACATACGGTGTGATATAATTCTTCTTACCATAAGTATATGACGTGAAAACAGCTATATTTGAAACAATTTGTTAGATTTAAAACTAACGTTAGTGAAATTTTAATTAGGTTTATTTTATTTAACATATAACAACAACTAATTACATCTCGAGTAAAAATGTATCCTACTGCTATTACTTTTAAAAGCAGGGATTACGATTTTTTTTTCTATTTAATACCCTTAATTTATTAGATTTTTATGTTTCTTATCAAAAACAAAATTCAATGACAAAAAGACAGAACAATTATTATTAAGGTGTAACTGACACTATATTGTGTATACGATGGGGAATAGACAAGTTCTGTCCGACTCACCTACCACAGAGCAGCAATTTCTTGGACTATCCATTATAATCAAGCAATACGTGACCCTTATCTTACACCGTCTGTACTCTGGCAAATTACGAAAGTGGTTCATTAATTTTCCCCGCGTTCAATCTGAAGCGGTATATTTACATTCTACAGCAAATATATCAGCGTATACAAAATAGATTCATACAAATGCCATTTCGCCTTAAGACAAAGAACAAAGAAGCTATCGAATTAACTTATCAAAGAAGCAATAAATATGCATTTTCATTATCTAGGTTTAGGTTGGAAATTTATAATTTTATAACTACTTCGATACCATGACTAAAATCACTATAAAAATAGTACAGACACAGCGAACGCGGTTCCTTGAGTTTTTCGTACGGACCCCTAAAAATCAGAAACCCAATTAATCCCGAATTCATTAACAAATATGAACGGATTGATAACATGAAATAAATCAGTGTGCTCCTCTAATAGAATCCAATTAACGCACTCATTAATATATCAGATACGAGAACATCAAGTTCCATAAATAAACAATATCTATTGAACTCTTAACACAAATACTTCCCTCGCGCTTCGATTTTTTATTTATATCCAACATCAATTATTGCTAACATTAATCCATGCGTTTACACTTATATTTCAAACAATGTGAGAAACAAATCCACCAAGATTTATGGGTTTATCGATGATTCCATTATCTAATTTATTGCCCCAAAGTTTGTTATGGTAAATTTAATGTGTAAATGAAAGCTAGTGCCACAACTAAGATTATATCAATATCGGGAGGTCACAGTGAAGAAAGTATTCCATTCCAATTTTACGTTTCATACATATGTGTATTATGTGGCACCCATGAAACATCCTGACATCTTAATCCGTATAATAACATCCCTAACATAAATCAGCTGGACAGCTCTTGTAAATTTGCATGACTAATCTAATATTGCGTGATGTGTGTAGGCGGATTTTTCGAAAGTTGTGAGAGGCGTTGTGAATTGATAACGTAGTGTTTTAAAGGTTTATAAACAATTAAAATCCAGTCCCGCAAGCCTCTCAGAATTCGGAAGCAACGAGCATTGTTTATATATAATATATATATATATATATATATATATATATATATATATATATATATATATATATATATATATATATATATATTTATATATATTTTTAAAACGTACACGGCAGTCGAACCTTAGTTCAATAGAATAGACTCACTGGAATTTTTCCAGCGGAATTGGAAGGTAAGTAAAAAGATAAATAAGAAATTGGTATGTAAACATTGATGCCGTATTTGTAAATTAAAACAGCAGCCGGATGCGGAAAGCGGAGAACCTCGTTTGGCCGAACGCGATGGAGGCTGTATCAAGCTGTTGATTGATATAGGCCGATGATCATAATGATTTTATGTGATAGGAGAAAGCGTATTAGCTAATTTTAAATTATTACCGCCCTTGGACATTTTAAACCTTAAAGAATGCCCCCAATTATCTCGCTCATCAGACAAAACGCATAAGTATAAAAATACCACTAATAATAGTATAGTACATTCCCGAATGAGTCTGCCTATTGTGCAACGACAAAAGCTGCAATTTATCAATCGAAACATGGATGGTAACATAAAATTTAATAAACCGTAAGGTTAAGCCTTAAACATTGCTTGATGTGCTCCTATTTTCGTCCAGGTGGTGGGACGCGAGAGTGTGCTGGCGTCCACCGCCACCCGCGATTTCCGCTGTGGCCGCCGTCTTGTCTCTGGACTCTTCAGTAGACCCCGTTTGCCCCTCGGCTACTCCTACGTGACCACTATCCCGCGTGGTGCATGTCGGCTCAACGTTTCCGAGGTGGTGCCCAGCGAAAATTACATCGGTACGTCTGTACACGTAAATACTTATATCAACACGAAAACGATAAAGATAATACGAAATTCCTTCGATGAATGATTAACCTAAATAACAAACGCAACCATACTTTTCGTCAACGTGCACTCCATTTAAAATGTGGAGCAAAATCTGTACGGTTATTACTTTAATATTAAAGTGATTTGGATCACAAATAGTGGGTCACGGGAGATCTTAATAAAGAGATGAAGTGCGCGCTAGTGCAAAGATCGATGTCGAATCGATTAATCGAAATTGCACACGCGCACCGCCGAGTTCGCCGGCGCATCCCCTCAATAGAGGCGCCTACGCCGCAAATTGTGAGATAAATGGAGATAGCCGCTTTTGCAATTGGTGTTTAATTATTCGCATGACGCAAGCTGTAGCAGCTTTGTTTAGGACGTCGATTTATGCTTGCTTGGTCTTAATATAAGATGTTGTAGTGCATTGATTGAAATAATTTTACTCACAATTATTTTTTTAGCGTTAAGGGTCACGAATGGCTCTTATATTATGAACGGCGAGTTTGCTGTCAGCGCGCCCGGCACATATGAGGCGGCTGGTGCGCGCTTTCTTTACTCACGTGCTGTCGGTCTTGACAACGTTTTCGCTATGGGGCCCATCCATCACCCCATAGACATCATGGTAACTTTACCTTTAATCGTGCATTATTTCAATCAAACCCTGGAAGAACCAGCTATTATATCCACTTCTATTTCAGGTGCTATACACGCAGCCGAATCCGAATATAAAATACGAATACCTAACTGATTCCACGCCCGACGACACGCCCAACGAAATCCCGTCCGCGAACAGCGCAACCGCACACCACCAAACTTCCCATCACCACCGCCACCACAACGCAGAAGCACACACGCGGGCGCTCGACAAACCCCAATCGGAGCCGTCGCTGTCGAAGCAGCCGGACTTCACGTCGATCGAAAGCCAGTACCAGATCGACAGCAACGTCATCGGCGACAGGAAGTTCATTTGGAAGGTGATGTCGTTCACGCAGTGCTCGCGCACTTGCGGCGGGGGGCTGCAGATAGGGAAGTTCAAATGCGTGGAGGTAGGTGCGAAGGAAGACCGGGAGGTTTCGCCGGCGCACTGTACCGGGAGTCCGCCACCTTCGCGGCGACGCCGGTGCGGCACCGCTGCTTGCCCGCCGCGATGGAGGGCTGCCGCCTGGGGACCTTGCCCCGTCTGCGGGCCGGCCCATCGCACGCGAATTGTCGGCTGCGTCCAAGACCACGCCCGCGGAATAACAAAGGTGCTGCACAAAGTTCCTCGCGACTACCATAGCCTTGGAATCCAGTCTGATTTGCTATTGTTGGTTACAGATAAGCGATCAGAAGTGCCCTCTCCCGATGCCAGCGAGTAGCGAGCCGTGTGCCATTCCGAACTGCGATGGAACAGCACTCGCCGCTAATACGGAGTCACGCCTAGATTCGAGACGGCAAGTGCGACCGAAAGATCGCACTGATACGTTCCGCGAAGGACCAGTCATTTCTCTGGCAACTAATGTCACAGAAAATGAAATCAGTCCCACCATGGAGTCATCTTTCAGCTACAGTGCAGCTGGGGGATGGCTATATACGGAATGGTCTGAGGTACCAAAGCTCTTTGCTATTCTTTACTGCTTTTATTTTTCTTTCGTGTTCGTGAAGTGAATAATCTTGAGGTGAATAATGTTTGAATTTTAACGACCGTTAATACATTTGGAGACTTTCAAACTTTCCTTCAATATAATATCATTTTAGTGTGTCGGGTGGTGCGTCGGCGGAGGCGTTCAGTCCCGAGGCGTGAGATGTGCAGATCCCACGGGCTGTGCCGCCCACAGAGCGCCACATCCTTCTCAATCGTGTTCACCGAGGAAACAATGCGATGCTCAGTGGTTCACTGGTAACATTTCATCTTCGCTTTTTGATCTAGTTCACAGCAAGTAAATAGACCATCAAAAACTTATTCCGACTACTTGCTTTTTCACTGGAGTTTTATTTCTCATGTAAAAATATAAGTATAAGTTATAAAAAATAGTATCATCTTTCTACGTGTGGATTCCTTTTTTTAAGTATTTATTTCTTATGTCTTAGGATATTCCATTGTTTTGCATTATCTTAGAAAGACAAAACAAAGTTAAAACACGAACTTTTCAAATAAGTTGTTTAATTTTATATGCTGTTTAGGGGAGTGGTCGCCATGTTCGGCGGCCTGTGGGGGACGTCAAGTCCGCGGAGTCATTTGCGTTGGCGGGAACGGCAGAAGATTACGGGACGGTTCGTGTCGGGCCCCACGTCCAGAATCCGAGAGGGCTTGCGGGGGAACCTGCGCCCCTTCGTGGTACCTCAGTGACTGGGGAGAGGTAAATATCATGAACTGAACATTACTTCCTGACAAACTATTAACAGTCGTATGACTGTTAATAGTTTGTCATATGTTTGATATATGATAAAACTACTTCAAGATATCAGTCATCTTGGTTCCACATAAATGTAACTTTACTTGTGGCCAAGAGTTTTCGAAACTATTTATACAAATTCTAGTGAGGTTGTGATTGCTTTCAATTAATGTATCACCAAAAACCAATCTCGTACTTCGTAATGAACGTTTTTTGAATAAAGGTTGATAAAAAATTTATCATATATGCCTTGAGTTTCAAGAAATCACATTTGCCTAGTGTAATAAAAGGACGGTACGCTATAAAATCGTTTTGTAGCGATATCAATTTGTTTTCAAATGTATACTTAAAAAACTAAGAACAAAGTTCACCGGGCTGTGTTTAGTTGGTCTAATAAAATAGGCAGCAAATTAGGATCCTTTCCTTGACCCAGTTCGGTGCGCATCGATATAAATTGTCCAGTACACAATTGTGACGAAAGCAATGCCACTACAACGTTTGTTCCGTCCATCAACGCACCACACTTAACCATATTTACAACTGAAATAACGCACGCACCTGTTACGTATTACGTTCTCGACTATTAATTTAACTGTTTGTACATGCATAATAGGAACAATTGATTCGTCCACGAACGTAGGCAGACACGTGGGCGTGTGTATTTGTGCACTTTGTTTTACGACACTCGTTTGATACACGTCGATCAATCGACTTTTCATGTTCGATAGACATTTATGGCGGTTTGACACTCGAGATGTGAATTCTTAATAAGCTTTGGCTTTTCTTTTGACGGCTGCCGCCTACTTTCATCATTTTTATAACCTCAAAAAGAAAAGTAAAATTTATTTGTACTGACCGCTAATGGCGTGATGTAGTAATTCTCAATTAGATATACTTAAACGGAAAACGTAAAATTACAGAATTAATTATTAACGGAATTGGGAAATTTGTTTTTTTTTTTATTTAAACCTGAACGTAGTCGTAGGTGCCAGGTTCGTTAATTTTTTTTCCTAAATTATTCATTTTTATAGTCTCGGGTCTCAATTAAAAGTTTGTATTTATATGCAAACTTATTACACAACATCCACGTATATCACTCAATTCCACGTATTGCATAGTAAATATAATGTAATACCCCGAGTATTGGCGAAAAATCAAATATATAAAATTCTCGTGTCACGGTGTTTGTAATTGAACTTGTTGGCGCTGGCAACACTGTATACCGGATATGACGTTATCTACTCGAGCCATGGTCGCATGTAGCAGCGGTCAATTGGATTTCGGCTGCGTTCCCGGACAGTGATACAACCGCTATTGCTACTTGTCGTTAGTTAATATTCAAGTTCAGAAATAGTTAAAGTATTAGAATCAAGGTAAAACGTTAGAACTCTTATAAACTCATCCGAAACAGCTCGACCGATTATCGTGAAATTTTGTGTGCATATGGGCCAGGGTGGAAAATCGGACAACATCTATATATTTTTTTCTTCCCTACAAATTCCTTAGAAATGATTTATACGGCAAGACAACGTTTGCCGGGTCAGCTAGTTATTACATAAAACTATACCTATATGTGAAAAAAAACTTTTAGGTTTCCGTACCCAAAGGGTAAAACGGGACCCTATTACTAAGACTCCGTTGTCTGTCTGTCTGTATAACAACAAATACTAAAAAAAACTGCTATAACAACAAACACTAAAAAAACAGCATAAAAAATATTTAAGTGGGGCTCGCATACAACAGATGTTTTGTATGGAACCCTTCGCGCGCAAGTCCGACGCGCACTTGGCGGATTAAAGCATAAAGATTGAACTTAGGCGACGTTAGCGTGTTGTCCTTTCAAATGGACGCTCTGGACACCGCTTGGAACCGCCCTTTCGTTTGCTACCCGCTGTCTTCTTCTTTATTTAATAAATGGCTTCTCTTAATAGAATTCTGCCAATATCATGTCAGTCAAGGGAGTGACGTTTACTTTGAGATTTCCAAGCTATCCGCTGTCGTTAATAAGAATGTGGCGTGCCAGTGCTCCGGGCCCTGCGAGGCGGGGGTGCAGACGCGGACGGTGTGGTGCGCGCGCGGCGGGGAGGCCGGAGCTTCGGGCGCCGCCAGGGACGTCGAGTGTCCCGGACTCCGCCCCCTGGCGAGGCGCACGTGCGTGCCGGCCAGGTGCTCCACCAAGCCCGAAGTCAAGCCCGCCGTCATCACCCCAGTTTCGGGTCAGCAACGCAACATCGACTTACGATAAATTCTATCTCTACCAACACTCTCCCCACTCAATTCGTAAGCCTATAAAAGTGATTTTATAAATGACGTTAGGATGAAAACGCCGCGTTCCAGGGCGGTTATCACCTCCCCCAGCCACCGAATAACCAAGCACAGTCAACGGCCATCGGGTTACGGTCCGCACCGTACCTCGATGGCCCGTAGCCGACATGCCATAATTAAGCCACGCACGAGTACATGCGCGGCGCTACCCCCGTGGGCTCTGGCTAGCCCACCGGTTCAATGAAGCTTTAATAATCTAAGGACTGAAAGCGTAACATCAGTTATACAAATACAAACATGAAAGGACCAAAACTCTAGTCTTTATTTGGACTCCCGAAAGAGGCAGGTTCGAATCCCGCTGCGCTGAAAGTGTTTGTCCGTTCATCATAATTTATATATAAAAAAATATTTTTATAATTTGTACCGACTTTCTTAAATGTCTAAGAATTTTAAACGTACTATTGATACTGGTTTAAAAAAGATCTAGGCACCAAAAATTCAAACAATTTCCTCTCTATTCTCAAACTCAAAATATATTAAATTATTGATATACCGAAATCTATGTATATATCGAAATAAAAAAAATATATGTTTAATGTAGACAAATGTTATATTCCGACAATTACAGATCCTCAGAGAGTGACGAGACACCAAAGTCATAACACACAGAATTTCAAGGAGCGATCGCCAGCCGACGGTTAGTCTTATTTTAAACTCATCTGGACGTATTTCGCTATAAAATATAACATTAAAGTGGTTTAATTACAATTAGTTTAACTAAACTAAATATAAAACTGGAGCTAAGAATCAGACTATTATTATTGATGAGCCAGTAGGCGTAGTGGGTAGTGAACATGCCTATTGTGCCAGAGGGTATGGGTTCGATCCCCACTACTGAAAAAATATTATGTGATGAACAGTGTTTTTACAGTTTCTGGGTGTATATATATGTACATTATGTATATGTATTTATTTGTAAAAAAGGATTTAACTATGTTTAATCAGTTATCTGGTACCCATAGTAAATGCGTTGCTTAGTTTGGGACAAGAGGACGTTGTGTAAAAATGTGTCCTAAGATATTTATTTATTTATGTTTATTACTTCCAACACAGGCATAAAAACAATCTACATAACGGAATTTCGGTTCAGTTAAAAACCGACAAAAGTTAGATTGTACATTTATATAATTATATTTTGTACAGGCGCATGCGTGGATAAGCTGAGCAACTGTATGCTAGCTGTTCAGGCGAGACTCTGCCACTATCCATACTACGCCGACTACTGCTGCAATTCCTGCCACGGGCGATAGAAGCGGCTATGGTATGAGAGAAAACCCACAAACAACAAAGTTGACTTTCCATTAATTTCGTTTAACAATAAGTTTCTCAAACATAATTGCATAAAGAATTTGAAATCAAACCATTTACATTTACGTGTATAGGCTTTTTGTTAAAATCGTTTCCAAAACCTTATCTTAAAAGGGATTCAATATTATCAATTTCTTTTCAAAGGTACTAGAGCGAGTGGAAACCTAGTAAGGCAGCTGGTTTGTGGACTCGTGACTCATAAGTATTGTGATACCTAATGGACGAGAAAATGCATTGAATAATCAAGGGACTTCTTGTCAGCTTAGCTCTTACACGCAAGGAAATTGACATACCCCGAAGTTATGGTCTATCGCGAACTTTACGAGGCTCAACAATGCTTTTAATTGCCATAAATTATCACGCAATGGCCCATAATGCGAAAGGGATCTTCGCTCACGCACTCTCATGTAGCACACAACTAAGCCATACGTCTATCAAAACTATGTACACAGCAGCATATAAACAGCAACACACGTTGTTTTGATGTTTATATGCTGTTCACAATTTTAAGTAAAGTTATTTCTAAACATAAACTTATATCATACTTAATTTATTAGGAATAGTGATGTGATCTCCCGAGTTGAGTTTCGAAGTAGATCTGTAAAAATATACCCCTTGACAAAAATGTTGACGAAAAGTATGAAAAGAAAAATAATTTTTTTTATACTAGGCACTGCATTTTACATCTCTATTATATGAAACTTTAGTTATGCCTGAATAACGTTTTAATCGGTAAACATTATAACTACCTACGATTAATTCATATATTACACATAAGAGATTAATATAAAATGTATATTTTAAAAATTATAGTTGATAACTGCGTAGTTGGCATTCACTGTATCTTAGGCTATTAGAGTAAGAAACGATAGTATTCCTTAAAAATGTTTGTAAAAGAACAATATAAGTTTCTGTATGGTGTGTATTTCTTAGAAACTATAATGTGTTCAAGATTATTTATTTACGCCGATTTTTATAAACAAATGATTTATAATAGAACTGTGTAAATAGTAATTTTTTATGTATAATGCATTTATTTACCGGCTGTTAAGTATTTATAAATGATATTCTCGCAACAAGCAATCATGTGCATCACAATTATTTTATTAAATCATGTTTTTTTCATTAGAATAACAGCAGTTTCCATGTGGTTTTATGAAACATATTTGTACTAATCTTGCATATAACAACGTACAAAAATAATAAGCTTTCAAGAATTCACTTTGGTTTTATTACTTCCTTAACATTCTGCGACAGTTTTTTTGAAGCGAAAACTTCTGTTGGCAACTTGGGCATTTTTGGATTGGAAGAAATTTGTAAGTTCGCGTCACCGACATGCTAATATCTCGTGTCTCATTGACTTTGACGAAAAATTTTATATGATTCGGTTTACTAATATTTGAGCCCTATAAAAGATTTCTAGTTGTTCGATAGTATTTTTCTCGTGCCTTTTGAAATAAAGATACTATGTATTATTTTTTTCAATTTAAATATTCAAAATTATTGTTTATTGGTATAAATTGTCAGAAATAAAATAGGGCATTAGCAATTTAAGCTCGTGTTTTGCGATTTTCATTATTCATTTAAAAATTAAAAATAAGAGTTGAACCTTAATTTCTCTATTTCCAAAAAATCCCTTTGATTTAAAAATTATTTCCAAATAATATAATGCCAAACTAGGGTCCATAACCCAAATTTATAATTTAAATTCAACATTGTTGAGCAAATTACCTAATTTTTATTACTATCTTTTCTTAGAAACTATATTCTTGAAGTGATAACACTCCTTCTAAGTCTGACCATATAACTCCAGTTTATACTTCTAAACGTCCTAACAACTTTACTTTCACTTCTGTCGTCAGTCCTCATGACCGCTAATTATTTAAACCTAATTTGACGATATTTTTTTAATAAAAAAATTTGCCCTTACTTTAGGATAATATTATCCTGTGTTGTAAGAACGTTTTACAAACATAAATTTCACGTGGACAAACACCCAGATTCGAAACAATTATCGAACCCACGACCCCCGACGCCGAAGCCAATACCCTAGCTACTGCGCCACGGAGTCATCATATCAAAAATACAAAAAAAAATACAATATACTTTGCTAGACATCAAAAATAGAAAATGAGTGTGTTTATTCCCCTAAGCTTTTGTTCAGTGACGCAGATAGACAATTCACACATATACAGCATGTCGTTACAACCGCGGCAATACATCAACACGCGTCTAACGCTACTTGCCAATAATCGTAAAAAAAATATAAACGTTAAAAATATCCGTAATTAAAAAAAATTCAATCAAAGTAATTAAATAAAGAAGAAACAAAATTTGTAACATCCTATACAAATACAACTGACTGATTCATACCTTCAGAGACTTTTTCATTCGTTGCCACAGCGTCGCATTACAAATCTCTATTTTAACAGTATGTTTTATCTCTTTTAAACTCATTCAACCCATTCATATGCTTTGTGACCTTTATAAATGAACTTTACGTTACAGTTTTATACGTAAAGGTGTTCTAAAATTGTTTGTTTTGGGAAATTTAATAACTCGGTAAATATTGATGTCCAAAGAATGTAAATGTTGAATACAATTTTAAAAAGTTATCCTCTATAATTATGTGTGTTCATTATTGTCGCGGTTGTAACGACACGCTGTATATTCGACTCAGATAAATATATTGGTTTAACACTAGTGATATCAAAGAACATTTGCTTAAATATGGCCAGAACTGTTATTCTCTAAATCGCTTTCTCTTTTACCAAGTGTTCTTGTTGTAGAACATTTTTGTCAAGTCAAAAGAAAAATATTTTGGCTATTCCCTTAGGTAAATCTTAATTTCTCCATTTTTGTAATTTCATTTGTATTAAAAATTATTAATAACACAATGCCAAATATTGTTGAAATTGTTTGATCCTAAAGTGATAGCAAAAATTCCTTCTAAGACTGAAAATATGACAATATGGCGCGTTCAAAATAAATGTAAATTTTTCCACATATCATCATCACCCACTATTCGCAAATCTGTTTTAGTACGTCACGGAAAATAAAACTGTCTGGGATGTTGTCGGAAAGCTAAATAATGATTATTATTAATGATTTTCATGTCTATGAGCATGCAAGTCTTTAGTGAGAGGTATTATGTCCGATAATCCAACTAAGCGTTAATCTCAACTACTATCCTAACAAATGCCACTTTACTCAAGTATCTCTCAAATAAGTTATATAAAAGGGACTTTACAACATTTTATGAACAGTTCTTTAAATGTACTGTCTTTTATAATTTAAGGTACAATCTGATAATGGAAACAGCGTTCAATATCCCCCAAAATTCCGGTAACATGAAGAGATCCGAAGAAAGTGTTTCTTTCCAAACCGTTCGGCTTTTACTAAACATTGTGACGAATATCTTAATAGCCTTAACTGTCTTTGTCAGCATGTTATTTTCGTGTAGAACTACGACGCTCAACGTATTTCACCTGCATATAATTCTGTGCGTCTTAGGGGTAAGATCATACTTTTCTGTTTTATGCTATAATTATGTAAAAATGAGAATTTCTTAAATTCTACATTCCTATAACAGTATATATATAGTAACAGTAATAAATAAAAGTGATATATAACAGTATATATATATAAAAAACTTACAACTTTAAATCCAAGAAATTTAGAAAACAATACTGCAACGCTTGTTTCTATTTATACCACTGTTATTCCTTGTTCGCCGCTTACAGACTGACAGTTATATTGCAAGAAATTGTTAGGAGCTTTAAAATAGATTAAAATGAACTCGAAACGCTAACATGTCGCGAGCATCCGCTGACATTTCCTTATTACACGAAAAGTGACATTGTTTACTTAAGTTTAAGTGCATGCAAATCGCATCAGAACAGTTTGCGACAATATTTCATTTCTCAAATTATCATATCCATTTCAATATTTTCCGTGTTTTAGTCTAAATAATTATATCCATTAAAAAGAAGTATATGTAACAGCAATACCTTCAGAACTATTGCATTATCCGCTAATATCACACCGCCTGTCTGAATTAATTAAGGAAGCCTAAAAAGAGTACTATAAGTCAATATATATTTTGTTTACATCACTGGTTTAGCAAATACGATCATAACATTTCTCAAGTAACGAGCCTGATACCAATGCCAGCCGTAAACAAAGTAGACACATAGTTTTTTTAAAAATATAATGATCCATTCATACTTTATTTTCTACACAATTTTTTTATGTGAAAAGTTGCCAAACGAGCAGACGGTTCACCTGATGGTAAGTGAATACCGCCGCCCATGGACATCTGCTACACCCGAGGGTTACAGATACGTTGACAACCTTTTGAATATTGGGCTCCGGCTACCTCACTCACCAGACGCAAGGCGAAAGTATTTGTCATACTTCCACTTTACGCTGGTCTTCTGTAAGGTCGTGGTACTTACCCGGGCTGGCCTACCCATTCGTGCAACAGCCGAGGCTGCTTCGTGGCCGTACCACCGTGATTATATAAAGTATGTTAACAGGTCACGTAACAATCGCTATATTGCGCAGGGCGTTTTCAGTACCAATTCTTCATGTGCCAAGGTATCCTCGTACTTTCAAAGTACAATTGGTCCATGTTAATAAGGAGGAGGCATCGACGGCATGTGCATTGGGTGTTCCAACTGTTAGCTCTAATCTTAGTCGTGACAGGAAGTGTTATAATGATTAAGGAGACGCAGAATCATTTCGATACAGCACATAGCATATTGGGTAAGCAAACATCAGGATTAAATATCTGTAAAATGAAAAGTTACCCATATTACCTTAGGTTATTCTGGCGCTAGATAATGTAAAGTGAAAAGTATAGGCTCTAGTTGTGTAAAAATATATCCTTTTCTTATTTGAGATGGTGGCAAACGAGCTGGCGATTAACCTGATGTTAATTGGTAACCGCTGCCCATGGGCATACGCAACACCCTTAGGGTTGCAGATGCGTTTCCACCTTTCAGTAAAATAGACTTCGGTTACTTCACTCACCAGACGAAACGTAGAAGTATAACATTTCCACTTCACGCCGGTCTTCTGCGAGGTCGTGGCACTTTCCCGGACGCACCTGCCCATTCATGCAACAGCGAACACTGTTCCATGGTCTACCACATGTAATATATATTATTTTATTATAATTAGTTATGTAATTAATGACAATAATATAGTATTTTTGAGAAGATAGAGAAATACATAGATATTATGATAATAGGTGAAAATCGTGTAATAATAACCATTCCACTTAAAAACAAGTCGATTAAAACTGCTTCACTCACAAACAGTGGTATAATATTATAATGTCAGTCTAAAGACTATAAATACTACGACGATAATAATTGATAAGTACATTTTTATTTTTATTTATTTTTAGCGATTTGTGCTCTTGTGCTTTATTTGACGAGTATTTTGAACGGATTATTGATGCTGAAAGCCAATAAATTGAGCACATTCGTGGATATGATTTGTGTTAGATACACACATTACGTGACAAGTATAAGTACTTTGTTTTGTGCGACTGCAAGTTTGTGCTACGGTTTCAACAAGAGGTCTTTCAGAATGTGGATCGACAATGACGAAGCCTTGTACACGCTAATGACAATGACGTGGATGCTCACTTTTTTCGTGTCCTTGGATTTTTGGATTGCGTCCGCTGTAAGATTGCGCAATTTTCTATTGCATTGGTATGATTAAAAGTGATAATCACGTTATTTATGGTACAAAATAAATAAAGAGATTGTTTGAAACTGCTTATTAATTCAATCAAAACTCTGTCGTATCCCACCCACTTCTAAAACAATGAACACTTCATCAATTCACATTCACTGTTATAGTCATACATCAGAACAAGTATGTACTAAAACAATTCTAATTAAACAAGTCAGTAAGCTTCTACTGACAGATGAATGTGACTATAAAACAGAGATCATCTCGACTCGGCTAACAGACTCGACTCACCACAGTAAATTGTTACGGAAATAACAAGAATGAAATTACTTCACATTGAGATCACAACCCGAGACCTACGCATGAAAAGGAACGGTCAACTTTTTCGTCAACAGATAAACTATTGATACATGCCGTGCTTGCGAGTGATGCTATCTAACTTATGATCAAACGATAACATAGGCAATGTAACGATAAGGCGCTGATAATCTCAGTACAACTGGCGTTCGTCAGTTCCAACGCAGGCTCCTTCGCGGCCCTCGGTGATAAACCATAAACATGGCCATATCAAATGGGCCAAGATCACCGGGTGTAAGCGAAAACACCATCGAAGAGAGCTCGCCAAAGATGGTGTTAATGAATCTCATGGTTACAGTAACGCACTTTCTTCTCGGCGCTGCGGCTTTTAGTGCATTTTTCTTCATAAACATTTTTGAAATATCTAATTCCCTGAAGCAACATATATACCTGTGTGTTACCGGTGTAAGTATTTAGTTATGAAATATAATAGAATTTTTCAATTTAGATTCATAATATAATGTATACGAATGTATTTTAGGTTTAAGACCAAAGTTTATGGTTAATTTTATAGTGAATAGCTATAGTAACAGAATAATGTTATATAATGTTATGAGTATGCTGTGGGTTGAAACTGTGGTTTTTAAGAATTGAAAAATAAACTCACTTACATTGATTGCCAAATAATAAAATAAAAACAAAAACTTTTCCATTTACACCCCACAGTTAAAATTAATTTAATATTATGGTCACCTGAAGTGATATCGAAGTGCGAACATATAATCTCCTCAAACATCTTCGTACCCGACTTCGATAAATAACCGGTTTTCTATTTTCCCTCCAATCCCAATATTATTACATTAATTTACTAAAATCATTTTGTCTATGATGCAAGTAATATATGAAATAAATACATTTGAAAATGTAAAAGAGAACCCAATAACAAATGTTTTCCAACGAGAAAAAGCCATTTACTCATGATTTTTTTTATTTTAAATATTCTGCCCGATGTAATAACAATGTTTTTCTGGATAAACGCCCTTTTCAATATAGATAAAATCTCAGCTTTTCCATATTGTATTTTCAGTATATAATTCTGATGTCTCAAGCTGTTCTTTCTCTCAATCCATTTACAAGTTGGTCACGATGCTTTAAATACGAGGACAAGAAAATAATTCATTGGACAATGCAAGTCACTGGATCTATGCTAGCCATAGCTGGCAGCATTATCAGGATGGTGGAAGTTCCAAGTAATTTTCAGACCGCGCATGGAATTTTAGGTAAAATTTAATCAATATTCGCAAAAACTAAATACTTAAATGATGATAGGCATTTTTTCGTACTCGCAAATTAAATAAGATATTGTTAAATTAAATATTTTTGTTTTCCATTGTTGTCTACATATTTATTTGTTTTCGAAGAAACTAACAAGCATGTCATTCACCTGATGTTAAGTGAGTACCTGCGCTAATGAACATCCATATCACCTGCAAATGAGTTCTTTACCTTTGTAGTGGTATAAAGTAAAGTATATTAAGTATACTTTACTTTATACCACATATATTATACAGTAAAGTATATTAAGAGTTTTATGACTCACCAGACTAAACGAAAAAGTATAATACTTCACATCACGCCGGTCGTCTGTACAACCGTGTCCTTCCTCAGGTAACCCTGCCTATTTGTGCAACAGCAAAAGCTGATGCGTGACCCCACTTCGGTCACTTCAGTATAATATCTCGTAGCGAATGAAAATGCTAGATTTTAATCGAGTAGATTTAATATTAGAAGTTCTTCTTTAATCATAAAATCCTTTCTTTTGCAGGAGTCGTCGCCATGGTTTGCACTATTTTCAGCCTGATCAGCGGGATTATCAATCTGTTTGCTATGACTCTCAACACGAACATAAATTTGGTCAAAATTTCGCATTCAGTTTTAGGCTCCTTAGGCCTTTGCACCGCTTACATTTGCCTCTGCTTTGGTTTCAACGATTTATATCGAGTATTTTTTGGCAATACCAATGCTAATTTATCTATCTCCCTCACGGTACTAGCATTAATCGGGACTTTGGCATCAGCAAGTATTAACACATTCAGAAGAATACTAAGCTAGCTTATCTTTATGTAAGTTGAATCTATTGATTCTTTAAGGTTAAACTTTGAAATTTAGTTTAATTTTTATCGTAATATGATTATTTAAACACAATATGACTTCTTCTAGTTTTCATGCAATCCTTTGCACTTTCGTGGTACAAATTTTTTGCAATGTATTGTTATTTAAAAGCTTAGTATTTTACTTGAAATTTCAAGTGTGCTTAAGCGACAATATATTTAAGTTAATGTAAATAAAAGATATCTATAATTGGTATATTTTTATTCATTCAATGATGACTATATGTACAGTTGTTAATCAGTAAAATGAATTTTGCTAATACAATACTTTCTAAATCTAAATAATTCTAATTTTTAGTTTTAAGATACTGTTGTAAGCCTTATACAAAATATTACATGTGCTTAAAATAAAAATTCAGAAAAATAATTAAATATCACACCAAATTCATTAAATATTAGTATTATAGTAGTACTAACTTAAAAAAGTATATTTGATATTAAAAACATATTGATATTATTACAGTGACAATGAGATACTTCTTATGAGATAAATTATTATTATATAGTTAATAATCGTTTTTGATTACAATGCGCATGATTTACAGCAATTCTGAATATAGTAGTTGTAGTGACATAGCCTGGCCTGTACTGCCAGCGCGCAGTTGGTCAATTTATCTTCACATTCTGCAAAAAACACAAAATCAACCTAAGAAATCTTTATTATTATTATGTAAGGTGTTTGACGATGACATTTTGTATATATATGATTATATACAATATAATTATGATATGAATATAATAATGATTATTAGCTAAAACACTTATGTTAAACAGGATCAACTTTTTTTTGAAGAAAGAAAATTAGGTAGTTCGTAACTTTTTTTGTAAATAAATACCAAAAATTAATAAATAAATAAATATTTAAGACACATTTCTACACAACGTTCTCTAGTCCCAAACTAAGCAACGCTTCTACTATGAGCACTAGATAACTAATAAACATAATTTTCTTTTGTAAATAAATACATATTATACATATATAAACACCCAGACACTAGAAAAACACTATATTCATCACACAATATCTTTCCAGTAGTAGGGATTGAACTCACACCCTCTGGCGCAGGAGGCAGGTACACTACCCACTACGCCATTCAGGTCATTAAACAAATTCTACCTTTTCTATTATCTAACATTAATTTATATTAAACAGACTTACGAGTACATACTTTTTGTTATCGTATCCTTTATTATGCTCCTACCAGCGCTAACACTTGAGCTCTCTATTTTTTCAGGACCTAAAATATAAGCAGACCTTTCATTAATATAAAGATGATAACACGTACTCATTTGTCCCAAAATTCTGATTAAAGTTAAAATCAATCGAGTGTTTGATGTATATTAAAAACTCGATTGACTCGAACATTTCCACTTCACGCCGGTCTTCTGCGAGGTCGTGGCACTTTCCCGGACGGACCTGCCCATTCATGCAACAGCGAACACTGTTCCATGGTCTACCACATGTAATATATATTATTTATATGCCTTTATTACGGTGATATTATTTTACACGTAATGTGATTCGCTGTGATGCTAATTATAATCTACAGCAATGACCGTTGACATGCAAAGAAAGTGTGAGTGACATAAGTTAGTGGTGACCTAGTCGACTGAACTAGTCTGAGAGGGCAAATATTGGAGACATTTTCTATTTGATTTTGAGAGGTTTTCTGATATATCTTGAGAGTTCAAGGTTAAATACGAGCCAAGCCGGATCCAATGCAAAAAAAATATTTAAATCATAAATGACGAAACTCTACATGAGTTTCGTCATTTATGAACCGATTAGCAACATCCGGTAGCAAACTTAAAAAAAATCATTCAACATAACAATAAAATACAACACAACAAACAAGTCGGTTTAAAAGTACTATGACGGCATGTAACAAATCAAAATGAGGATAATAAAACATTGAAATTTGTAGAAAAGATGTACGAAAAACCTTTTAATCACTAAGATAATCGGCTGATTGCTACACCAACAAAAATCTTGATGTCTTTTATCAACATTGTTTTTTTTGTATTGTAAACAATGCTTGGCGTATCTCTTTTTATGTACATCCTTTACATCATACAAACAATTTTAAATGTCAGCTAAATAGCTGCCGTATGAAGGTTTACTCCCGAGACAGGAACAACGTGTGACGTACCGATAAAGAGCTTGGGAGCGTCCGTCGAATGAGGCATGCACTTGGGTTCGCAGGAGCGATGAGAAGGTGGCCGCGCATGGCCACATTCCTCGTCGTTGGCGCCATGCGAACCCTTTGCACAAACCACCGTGCGTCGCTGCACCCCTGTCCCAAACGTGCAGTTCCCTGCGCACTGCTCGACGATAAAGTAACAAATATAATTCACGTCTACTGAGAAGGATATTTCGACATTCAGCCACATCGACTGACGAAGGATCATCAGAATTATAGGCCCGCGGTCAAGGGAAGTCGCGAAATCCACTCGTGCCTACGTATCTTCTTGTCGACATCTTAGTCGAGGAATAAATGGAAGACTACTGCAGACGATTAAAATTCGAACGCCTGAGCTTAAATAGCTAGTGCCCATCCACGCTTATAAACAGCAGTCGACTATCATAAATTAATAAATTTGATAAAACGAAATTTTGAGACTCATTTTAAATTTCTTTAGAAATATAAGAATAAACCTTAGCACCATATGTAATAATATAAATGTTGAGAATAAACTGGATAATGGTTGGTATTGACCAGTTTAGAGATCTTGCACCTCCCGTTACCTTATCTACTAATGGAGTCTGCATAATGTATCTATTACTAAGTAGACACAAACTCGTTACCGGCTCTCGTGGGTTCATTGTCTCGCACAAGGTTTCATTATCCGATAAAATATACAAATTGATATAAATTCCGTTTCAAACATCGATAGATAACAGATAGATAAATTTTGGGTCGCAAATGTTACAAAAGAGTTTCGTCAACACCCCAACGCGATAGGTGATCTTAAAATGTTTCAACGGAAACTATAAATAAATAAAGATAAATCATAATTAAAAAAATTAGAGTTTGCCTAGCTCATCGTATAAAGAATTTTAGTTTTCATTCTTCATACTTTAGATAGTACGTAATACACGTACCTTTTAGAACGTTTAAATTACGAAAACAAAAAAATATTCGGACCATTCAAAGTCGCAAAACATGTTTATTTTTTGTATGCCAAAGCTATATGTACGTAGAAATAAAACGGGGTATAGTCTAAACATGGAGTGACATACAACTTACCATGAGTAAGCTTTAGTTACTCCCGATACCTCATGTAACACGTTCAGAACAACGCCTAGTTTTTCATGAAACTCTATTAAACTAAATCTGATCCCACACAAACATATATATTATTCTATATTGTTCCCGTTTTATATCCTATTTAGTAATAAAAGACCATAGCAATCAACTGTAATTGCTGCAAACATTGCATTTTCATCATTACCTGGCTCCATTCGCTGTAGTACCAAGCAGGTGTACAGTCGTCTCCACAACTCCGTTCGTGTTCAGGTTTCGGGTCCGTGCACGCGGAATCTCGTAGATGTCTGCCACTGCCACCGATACAAAGAACACCACGAATCTGTTTCCCACCGCATGCAGAGGAGCAAGGCGACCATTCCCCTAAAAATTATATATGGATAAAGTACACAGAGACTAAAAAAAAATTTTATCGAGTTTAAATAAAAATTTCTCGAAAACTAATATTAGGCATCTAGTCATTTCTTTAGGGAAATGTTTAAAACGTCTTACTACGTACATAATCACGCAGTGAGTTTGAATCTGTTGAGCTAAATTTTGCATGGACCCAATAATAAAATAAAAAAGCATTCACACAAATTGGTAAATCATAGATAGCAGGTAAATGAGACATAAATATATACTGGTAGGAAGAAAAAGTGTCAGTCTCGTATTGACCATCGCGATGTAGAACAACCCTACACCAGATGGAGTGAGAACCTGTGCAAATATCAGGGAAGTTGATGGATGCAGGTGGTTCACGGCAGTATGTATTATCTGTATTATGTTCGGCAGTGGACTCGAACTATCTGAAAAGATGATGATGATTCAGAAACGTCGCGCCTTTTACCTGTAAACCATTGTCCTTGATAAGCTTCGCAAGATTGTCTCGGACTACAATTTCTCGATGGCTCTGGTAACTTTAGCGGTGAGCACCCCGATGGGTCGCCGCATCTGATACTTCGAGTTTGGACACCACCGCCAACACACCAACCAACACACTAAGTTAAAATAATATTTTCGTTAATTCAGTGACAGTACTGTTGAAACAGAATTTATTTTGCCTTTCTAGCAATTCTTTACTATGGAGTTTTAGTAGTAGTTTATGCATATTCATAGTCATGACTTGATTTATGTTGAGTGTATCCAAAAACAGTAATTGTCACTGGCTAAAAAAAGGCATCGCTAAACTGACAAAGAGAGTTTTAAATTGGCTCGAGTTGTTAAACCGAATAGTTTTAAAAGCGGTCAATTAAATAATAAAAGTACCTCAGACCAATCAGTGTAGAGCCACCCGGCGGTCGCACTAAAACTGTACTCCGGTCCGACATCGATGTCGGAGCTATTGACTGTAATTGTGTAGACGGGACCTTCTCGGAACGCGTCCGTGTGGTCACGTGGTCGGGTCACACGTTTCGCTTCAATTTGTCGAACCACTCCAGTTCCGTAATCTGAACAGTCTGGCACATCGCACTTTTCGGTCGTAAACGGTTTCGGCGGGGGGCACATTTGGTCACTGACCTGGAAATTGTGCTTCGTAAATTAGGAGACTGTTCGCAATCAACTTTGGGACAGCATATTAATTTGCTAAGAGTCACTATGATCAATGGATCAATGTCATCTACATTTTGAGTGTATTGCCCTCTGAGAAATATACATCTCAATTTGCACAGATTGGCACATATACACTGCAGAGGAACTCACTATGGTAAAGTCACGCTTCTGCTATTGTATAAATATGGTTCTGTGTTCAATATGTGGGAAATAGGATTGGAATGCGTTTAAACTATTGCATTGCATCTGGTGAGTGATATAGTAGGCCCGTACCGTTATGGGTTGGCAACGCATCTGCATTCCCATGGGCTTTACATGGTGGTGGCAGTCATTTCACATCAGGAGAAACACTTGCCCGCCGCATTATAAGAAAAAAATGTTACAATTGTTCGGTACGAGTTTAGGTAAATGTAAATAACTTTAACTTTGGCGTAATTCAATTAAAATTTTAAACGATAGAGAAAAGTCACTAATGAATTTATCAACAAGCAGAATTCGGCGGTCGCTTATAGTTTTCAAAAAAATAAATAGTGAAATAGTGTGATTTTACTATAGAAATCCGCCATTTTTTGTTGTCAATACGTCAATTCTGCTCGTATTTCTTGGTGGTCATAAAAAAAATAACCTAACCACGAAGGTTAAGGCGGGGGCTCCGCTCCCGCCTGGACATTCTAACCTAATCTATCCGAGTCGGATTCGCTCTGTGTCGGTTCTGTAACTCATTAAATTAAAAAAAAACGAACTATCGATACTAGTATGATGTCGCTCGCTTCCTATATTTATCATGTTGGCAGAACTATGTATTGAGTTTTTGAAGTCAAATTAATAAAATGGTGGATTTCTTAGTGAAAATAACAAGTTTTAAATATTTTTTTCTCGAAAACTGTAAGCGACCGCCGCATTCTACTTGTTGAATTCATTAGAGATTTTCTCTATCGTTTAAAATTTATTTAAATTGAATTAGGCCAAAGTTAATGTTATTTACATTTGCCCGAGTGTATTGACTGGTACCCACTGAGTGGCACTGGATACGTAAAGAGAATCTGAATCTGCTATTTTGACTTTTACAATATATAAACCCTGACGTATGTCGAACTTGAACCAATACAGTATTTCTCAGATTCTCGTCTTATAAACCTATTACTGCGTCTAAACATTTTCGTATAAAATAAATAAGATATTTTAATATTACTATGCAGTATCGCGCTTGAGCAAGTAATGAGCCAAACCTTTACTATCCCTTTCGAATGGTCTTGAACGCAACCAACAATTCTTTTCCGTGTTGCTGGCCCACACTGAGGACAAGGCGACCAAGCGGCAGTCCTCCATCTTGGAGGACACGAATTGTTTCCACAGCGCCGCCGCTTCCCTGAAGGAGCAGATCCCGTACAGTGCACTGGCGATATCTCTCTATCAACGCTGTCTGCGCTTTCTTCTACGCATCGATATTTTCCAACCTTATAATAAGAAAATTACCTTTGAAAGAAATACTCTCTGCTTACTTTAATTTCACACATTCCTATCACTCACCTGAATACCACCACCGCAACTTCTTGAGCATTGAGTGTATGATGTTATCTTCCAAGTAAATCTTCTTTCTCCAACAACATTTTCCACCAAATTGTTTTCAAGAATAGAAGTCTCTTTAGACAAACTGACTATGTCCGGACGCTTGTCAGAACCGAACTTTGTGTAAGTATCGTAACCCTGATGTCTTCGCGAGTGCTTTGTTGTCGCCGTATTTTGAACATCGGGATAGCTAGATTTAGTAATAGAATCAATTTCGATATCGCCCGGTACAGACTCCGTGAAGTATTCGTACTTTATATTAGGGTTTGGTTCCGTGTACAAAATCTGTAAGAAAATTTCACTTAATAAAATAAATACTTAGCTCAATACAAATAAGTATTTGTAATAACTCACCATGATGTCTATGGGAAAATGGATCGGTCCGTGTGCAAAAATCGAATCAAGTCCAAGTACTCGAGAATACACGAACCGTGCCCCAACTGCGTCATATGAACCAGGTGCAGTGATAGCGAACTCTCCATTTATAAAATATGTCCCGTTTGTTACTTTTATTGCTAAAATAAATTAGTGTAGCGTTATTTTCGAAGGTGTCTAATCAGACTCATGTTTTTTTGAACGTTTGCATAAAGTCTTCCTAGTTCAGACTTTTCAAGCATTATAACAATAAAAAAGAACTCCAAAAACGAAAAAAATTCGAAGTCATTTAACTATGAACATGTTTTATTGTCATTGCTCACAAAACATAGTATTTAATATAAAATTGGAAATAATATATCGTCAAGTACAAACAGTACTAACAGTATAACAAAAAAGTATGATATATTTTAAAACAACTTACTCAATTTAATTTTCGCAACCCATCCGTAATGTATTCAATATAAAATTGAATAAAATTTACTATAATAACATCATGGGCCCTTCTATTGTCGATGGTCGTGAATAATTTACGACCCTTATATTATATACATATGATTGTTAAGTATAGCTAAACTCATGTTTGCGGATCATTTGCGTTTGTCAAAGAGTCATTCGCTACGTGAATTAATGAATGAACGTCTAGCAAAATAGCTGTCTTATGTCAGCAAGGATTCATCGATCTAAGAGCAGAGATTATCTGTGAAAACTAGTTTGATATTCTATTGAACAGAAACAGTCCAGACGATAAAGGCCTCGTATTCAAGGTATATCCGTCCCGCTGTGCAGACGTTAATTATTTTCTACTTGATGAACGGCAATTGTAACGAAACTTCTACAACATAGTCTGACTTTTGAATGTCGGTAGTTGATTAATTTGTATGATTTATATAATTTGACGGTCACATAGATGTACGCGATTAAATGATGTATTAGACTATTGAGATTATTACGATTATTGAGACATGATATAAAACATAGCCTTCACCGATTTGTATAACTAAAACTCAATGACTCAATAATTGGGTAACAAAAATACTTAGCTTTTCCAACAGAGTATTATTGGAGACAAATTATAAAATATATAAAAGATTTTACCGACTTATACAACTATAAGTTAACGATGACTCAATAATTGGATAACAATAGCAGATGTACTTATCTGCTGTTAAAGAAGTTTTGAAAAAGTTTATTTAGCGATTTCAGTCTTACTTTAAATTTACGATTCTTTAAGGCCTTTAAATAAAAACCTTTTGAGAGACCCTGACGTCGTACTTAAGTTTTAACTCAATCTATTCTCAATCATTTAATTAAAGTTTACCCGTAATATTAAAATTTGCCAGCAATTCGTATGACGTCAGATCGTAATAATTCGACAATATAATCAAAATAAGCGTGTTAATTTTGATTAAATTCAAGTTTTACTTTAACGATATACCTATCGCAAATTTCAAATAAACCGATTAGGTGGGTGCTTCTAAGCCCCTTGAGCGAAGCGGTGCGTGAACTAACCGATATAATTGTCGCTCGGCATTATCTCGGTGACGTTGAGCCGGCAGGCGCCACGTGGGACGGTCGTCACGTAAGAGTACCCCAACGGCAAGCGGTGTCTGGAGAACAGCCCGGACACCAGACGCCGACCACATCTCAATTGTTGGCTGTCTGCTGCCGCGAGCACAGAGTCACGCCCCACCGCCTGATCAAAAATTATATTTCAATCATGGTAACCGCACAGAAAGATAACATTACAAAATATTACTACATCATTTTTGCATTTTTAATTTTTATAGCTGCACGATTAGGCTGGCAATAAATTGAAGTGGAAGTATTATACTGTTCGTCTTGTAGCTGTAGTAACTAGAGCCTACTTTTTAATTTTGGCAACAAGGTGAATTAAACTACTTAACATCAGGTAAACCAATGCAGCTCGCAGCAGCTTCCACTGTAGGCTAATCTGAAAAAACTATTATTATAACCACGGCCTCATTAAAGACCGGCATAAAGTGGAACTTATTACTCTCAACCCTGTAGTTGCGGGTATCTAGAGTAGCGCTAAGGTATTCTCTACCTGTCGTAGAAGTCGACTAAAATTGGAATTCGGGCTTACATGGGATCAGAGGCCCCTGATTAACAAATGGAGTGAACTTTAACTCTGAAAGGGCCACGCAACAGCTGTTGCACGAATAGTTAGGTCCGTCAAAGTACAAGTAAAGTGAAAGAGTCACGCTTCTGCGTTTCGTCTGGTGAATGAGGTAGCCGGGGCCCACTTTATTAAAAAGTGGCAACCCATCTACAACCCTACGTGTGTTGCCATGTCCATGGGTGGCGGTTATCACTTGACATAAAGTTAATGGACAGCTCGCTAGCCACCTTCTCACATAAAAAAGAAACCCAGAGATGCATAAAGTCTTGCAGGGATTTTCTTAAATATTTTCTAATGCAGTATATGTGGCCAAAAAATTGAAGTTTTTACAATATAGCATGCTACCCGATGAAAGGGGTAACGGCCCTCTTCCGTTCAAAAATCAGCGGATGGAGCACATGACAATCAAAGAACAAAAGTAACAACAGTAACAACCATTGTACTTTTATTTTTAAATCTCTTGGGTCTGTGCCTATTTTTTTATTACTGATCTTCAACGATTTTTACGTAAATAGTTTTACGTATATAAATATCAATAGTTATGCTTAAAATATACTTATCGCATAAGACATTTCAAAATATGTCCGTCGCTTTCGAAACGGGTTTGACCTTAGTCGAATGCCGACATTAATCAAATACCAACATAAATAAGATACATAGAAGCGAAGTCACAGCACCAATTAGATACCAGAGACATCTTTATGGTGCAACCGGTCGACGCCATTGATGCCAACCGGCGACAACCAAAACACAATGCTTCGTAATATTAATGGGTATACGCATTGTTCGGTGCCTGGTTCACAGAACGTTTTCTCAAGTAGTCTGTGCTATGCGTAGTTATTACGGCATCGATTACAGTTGCTTTTAAATTGATCATGAATATAGATCAATGGAAACAAAGAAAACATCGTATTTTGTTACACGGTTTTTTTGTGAAAAGTTGTCAAGCAAGCAGGCGGTTCACCCGATGTTAAATAAAATAAAATGAAATCATTTATTTATCGAAATAAGAAATATACATTTCATCTATCGATACTTATTCTTTTTAAATCTACCACCGTTTTTAAACGAATACCGCCGCTCCTGGTCATCTTCAACACCCGATGATTGTTGATGCATTCTTTTTCTTTGCGTGTCGATGAAAAATTAGATCTTTCCGGCCCAGAACTTATTAGCCATTTCGACTGAACAATTCGTGGTGTCCATTAAATCCTGCTGCCAACAGGTGAAGGGGCTGGCTGGACAGGACATTAGACAAGCCATGGACTGCACAACCCCACACTCACAATCCAGGTCCGGGTTTTCTGAGAGTCCCCTGAACATATTTCCCTTGTTCTTACCAACTTGAGTCCGAAGTCTATTTAAAGACTTCCAGATTGGCCATGGCAATCTGTCCCCCGGGCGGAAGAGTCTCAAAAAGCTGATGCGTTGACAACCTTTAAAAAGGTGGAGCACAGGAAGCGAGTTTAAATAATATTCATCTCATTTATTTATATAAAATAAGACTAACATTATTACATAGAGCATACATTTTCACAGAATTTTAAAAAGTCCAATTGATGATTGAGATTTATAAAAAATATGGTTTACGTTCAAATTTCGACCACTGAGCGACCGCTGCTACTTATAATTTTGCTTTAATTTACGATAGAAACAAGTATAATAAACAACCGATTATTTCTTGATAGAATTTTAACGCCACACCATAATCATAAATTTCTAAAACAAGCTAAAACACCAAGAGAATAAGTGGTGCCATTGAAGAAGCGTCAACTACATCAATGATTATTCAGAAACAAAACACAAGTTAATCCGGTTTACGGCAATAACATATTGCCAAGACTTAAACAAATCGGATTCAAGTGTTCAAGCCTTCTTCTATTTATAAAACATAAAATTTGAGTCATCCGAATGTTCGTTTTAAAAGTATACATACGTATAGAAGACCTCTCTTAAGACATTATTAAGGTTTTTGCTTATTCATGGAATGATTACGTTTGCGGCGCCAGTTTAATTATCTCAGTTTATTGTTAACACTTAAAAATAGTATCTCACGACCGCTTAGCCTATGCTTATTTATGTGGTCAAATATGAGGTTAATTGATATGTGTCAAATGTACTAAAGATTCGTATAATAAGTCACATATTTTAATAAACCCTTCTGTGTTGTCACTAAAAGTAGTTTACGGATTTTAATCGTTTTTACGGTGGTAAGGCCAAACAACGCTATTGCACGAATGGGCAGGTCCATCCGGGTAAGTACCACGACCTCACAGAAGACCAACGTAAAGTAGAAGTTTTACGCTTCTGCGTTTCGTCTGGTGAGTGAGATAGCCGGGGCCCACTTTATTTAAAGATGGCAACGCATTTGCAACACTACAGGCGTTCCAAATTTTTATGGCCGGCGGTTATCACTTAACATCAGGTGACCCGCCAGTTCCTTTGCCACTCTCTCACATGAAAAAAAAAGATCCATCACGAGACAGATTGAGCTTTTTTGAATTCCAAATTAGTCACCTAGGATATAATCAACCCTTTCATTATTTATTTTAGTTCTATCTATGCCGAACTAATTTATAATATCTTGATGGTTTGCAGGGTTGATGCGTTTGGATTTAATTTTATAAATTAAACGGTACCATACCTGGAAACCCTTATCAGTTTATCCTGCTTTTACAGTAATTGTAATTCCCGTTTTTCTGTCGATTACTGACTAATCCCCTTCATTTCCATTTTATGGAGTCTAAGCGCGTCATTTACCTACCGTTGTCTTTTACCGATGCTTCGTCCTGTATTTTTATCGTAGTTACAACCATTTTCATATCTCATAACATGTATTTAGTCGCCGCATGTAAATGTCCTCACAGCTTAAGAATACCTGCGCGATACGGTTTGTTATTGCTAATAAAATTTTCTATTTTATTCAACCACATTCGCTGGCACCGTGCTATTCTCTTGATCACACTTTACATTTACAATTAAGTTATTTTAACTGACATGTTTATTATGACACCACGTAAAGAATTCACTATAATGCAAATTGCATTGGAGCTACTTTGCTTCGACTTTCGAGTATCCTAGACTTATTTATGCTAAGTGCATGCCTAACAACATTGTGTACAAAACAGAGTATCTCTTCAAAAATGAATATACTGAGATAAACAAAATACTGGGTGATTATCTTAATGCTGTTATTGATTTCCAAACACTTACCATTAATATTGAATGTAAGTTTTTTATTAAATAATTATGTTTGTTTTATCCTCAGATTCCACGATACACATACCTACGTGCGTATGTTTGTAAAAAGCAATCAAAACACAATTTGTAAACAAATGCTCAGTGGCAAATGCAAGATGGCACACTCATTGCGAATGAATTGTGTAATTTAGTAACATTAATGTCAACCAAATGGTTATAATACATTAAAGCCCTAATTTAATAGCGATTTTATTATCACAACCTCTTTGTTTTCTCGTGCTCCGCATACAACTCTGTCATTCTAAATGTCACTCTTGAGGACCACCGTAAAAGCTTCGGCTCCTTTAATTTGTATTTAATGGCTTTATCCGAACGCGAATAGCCCCATCTTAATGATGTTTACATATCGAAGGCAGATTCGCAAGTACCTTTGTAGCACCGTTATGCTGACGGTCGACTGATGATGATCGACTACTATACTAGTAAATAGTAATATAAATCAAATTTCGTACATTTCGAATACCTTTCGACATTCATGGTCCCGAGATGGATTAGGCCGTTAGATGTTTTAATGTCACTCGTCAGTACATAAAGGTCGATTTCATATAATAATACTAGCTGCTGCCCGCGACTACGTCTGCGTAGAGGGGTGAAAATTTAGGGGTGATAATTAAGATTTTTAATGTATGTATTTTTGTATGCTGTATCATAAAAAAATAAAAACAGAACATTTTGTTTTAAAAAAATTCGGTGTGGACCACCCTTAACATTTAGGGGGATAAAAAATAGATGTTGTCCGATTTTCCGTTTCGGAGGAGTTCAATTACAAACACCGTGACACGAGAATTTTATATATTGGATATGTATAGTGGTCCTATAAATATTAGAAACTAGTTGACCGGTTCGAAATTATCACATCGCACCGTGATCAGTCGCCTAGTGGTATATAATAATGTATAAATAAGTACTTCCCAAAGACAGTTAGGTAAATAAAATTGAGAAACTATCAGTAAAAGAACATACATTTACTATCTCATCTCTTCGCCTATGATGTTGAAGAAATAAAGTGGCAGCACAGTGAAGTACTGAAGAAAACATTGTCTCAATAGGAGCGTCACGTTCTCTCTTTATCTTTAAAATCAAAGATATTTCCAATCTGATTAAAATAATCTACGTGATCATTAATCATGGATTGTTAGTCAAGTATAGACGAATAAATCAAACGAAGTGGTAATTGAAAACGTCTACTAATAGCCAATTAATTACGATTAAGTGTGAGTTAACGAATTACCTGTCGTTGTGAGATTAGAATTGGGTTTTGATATTTCGTTTAGAAGGCGGTGTTTATAGATAAATATCTATATTGTGTTTTATTTAAGTAGTCCCATTAAATGTACCTTTGTCAGTCGCCGCTTTAAAAGTCACGCCTTTATTCTGTATGTGGTACCTATTATGGAGTATTATTAGATAAAGTTCATTATTTATTGAACCGTAAGCGCCGATATAGGATTATTAAATTGAATTTTAAACAAAACAACAAGGGCTTTTTTTTTACATTTGTGATGCCTACGATTGACTGTTCTTTGAAGACGAACACTGTCAAATTGTTCCACTGCCTTACTGGGTTATGATGATCAGTATTCACTTTACTAAATTATTAATATTCCCTTATTAATTGTATCCCAAGATAGATTGAACATAACTAAATAGCTATGAGCAAATGCTCAAATACAGAGAATGATTAAAAAAAATGGAGGCAGCTCCAGGAAAGTACAATACAGGATATCCCAAATCCTCTTTCGCAGCGTCGCCTTTACCTTTAGATTAGAATACTTATTGAAGATCGCCAGCCTAATTTCTGATATTTTTAGATAGATAAAACTTTTAATATCTTATGACCATTCCTTTATTCGAGTTAACCACAGATAACAAAAATATAGTTGTAGTAATTTTTGTATAGGTTATAAATATTTCAAGATTTATGAGCCAAGTAACATGCAACACAGGATAATTTATTTAAAAATAAGATACATAAAGACTTACCCAAGTAACATATACGATGATGAAGACACAAGAAGATCTCATCCCGTTGGCAATATAGCGACAATTGATCAAATACTCTAGTTATTATTCACTTGAACAAACATCAACATTCGGTTAACACATTTCATATTACACCAATCTTGCAATGGTTCAATTTTATTTTTATTTATATCGAGTCCCTTGAATGGACGATAAACCTTGTGGTTTATGGGAGCTTTTAGTAACGAATCTGACCTGATTGCAATTGAAAACAAATATAAAATATAATTTCAACATATTTTAGAGGTTTGGTGAACATGTAGCGGAAGAATTTGAGCCGTTAATCAAAATATTATCTATAGAAGCAGAAACGCGGACCTTAGATATATCATTGGATGGTGCAGTTGTGGCTAGCGTCGCTGGCAGATTGCTTTATTGTTGGTATGGATCTTAAGTGCAGCCAGCAATATCCCTTTGATCTAGTAACGTGATTCGAAACGATTGGTTCACGTTCAAATCCCTATTGATATGTTTATAGCAACACTGCAAACCGTTCTACTAACTCGAGCCATTAATATTCTCATTGGCTGCGGGTTCATGGAATTCGTATTTGTCATATTTGAATTCCTCCGACACGATTATCATATATAATGCAATTACGAACACGGCTATACTTTCCCTATTTAACAGCAAGGACAGTATTTGCATTAAATCCTGACTGTGTCTCTGAGAAAGAGGTTGCCTACGTCGTGTTCCCTGAGCACGAAAATGGATTCGGAATAAAGTAACAGACTTCTATCTTGACCTATAGACGTAACGATAAACCTGTCTCCAGGGCATTCAATACTAACTAAAGATGATGAAAGAAAAATCTGCGTTTACTGATAGATGAAGAAGTATACGTTAAAAAACTAAGATAAGCCTGTAAAACGACCTTGATTACTTGTGAGGTGCGAGCAGCCGTGAAATGGGGAATAAAGCCATCACACAAATACTGTTTTGATCACGTAAGCCTTGTTTATACAACAACATTCTAAACGCACTACTAGACGAAATTTCTCCAAGATCATAAAATAGGTGATGGCTGAGCGCCAGGCACTCGTCCGAATTCATTGAAGCTAACTGCACGTGTGACGTGCTGATAATCCTAAGCGTATTTTAGAGTTGAGTTTTATCTGTTACAGAATACGTAAATTTCGACCTCACTACGAATTTTAGCACGAAGACGAAGACTTACGAATTAAAAAAGACTACGTTATTGGCTTTCTTCTTTTCTTCTGTAACTAATTTTATTCTTATTACATACCTGTTTAGATTCGTTTGGATATGCGAAGCATAAAAATCGTACATCTTTTAATAATTAATATATATAATGACCAACAGTCACAATGTAAACATTTAATATATTTGTTATAATGTTATAATTGCGTATAAAGACAATTAGATCAACAAAATCTCTCGTGATTGCATTAACAAATAATTTTGTTTAAGTCGACGGATCATTTAATGTTTTGTCAAATTTTCTAAACGAATATTACATGTTTTAATAAAACTAGTTCAAATATTTTATCGATGGATTATTTTTTGCACATCTGACTATATGCAGAAACAGGACCACAGTTGCTTGCCAAGGTTTACGCTACCTTTATTGGGATAGCCGTTACATGTTATCCATGCTCGTAGACGTATCTCACTTTCAACTCGCTCGTAAGGGCGCCTTCATAAAAGGGATGAAAGTACTTTCATAACTTCTAAGATATGCCATTTGCGTGTTAGTATTATTCGTTGTGTAGTGCTATTATATTGCATCATCTGTTACGTGCTTTTTCATGTTTCATCGTTGTTTCATTACACTTTATCAATGAAAAATTTTAATATTTCATTTTATTTTATATATGCTTACATTAATACACATGTTTTCATAACTCAACCGTTCCTTAGAGATACATCTTCAAAGAAATCATTTTTGACGCAATAAGAAAAGATTGATTACAATCGTCACAACTCCATTGCAAGTAGTATACTTCCTGTATAACTTGACCGCCTAACAGTAAAAAACTCTTATGTATATTTGCTATAGGAACATACATAGAACATATAGGTAGGTCGTTAACTTATAAATTTGACTACAATATGCCAGCATTAAGAGTATTCAAGCCTAATTTTTGCCCAAGGCATTTTGAGTATGAAAAAAAGTTAGTTAATAAATAAAACTTTTACATAATAAATAAATCTATATATAATAAAATCTAACAACTGTAACGTTAAACTAAAGGACAAGAATATTCAATCTTTCAAGAGACATTAATAACGGAATAATAAAACGGCTAAACTCACTAACTTTTACATCAGCAGCAGAATTCGAGCAGTAATATAATAATAATAATGATAGGTTTATTGGTTACAAAAAAAGTATAAATTATGAAATCATTTCAAGACCTTTGGCCTGTGATAGTTTTGATTTGTGCTACAAACTGCAGCGTGCCTTCCCTTCTTAAAATGAATCTACGGATTTCCGTTTTTTTTTAAATCTTTAAACGGAAATTTACTTGATTAATGCACTTTAACATCCATTGATCCCCATTTCCCATTATTTGTTCAACATATAAAGTTTGAGATATTACAAGATTTGAAGCATTTGCCCCTTTCATACAACTAGAAATTAAAGAAAGTTAAAACATATAACATGTATTCGCCGCTGTAAGGAATGGAACTGTGTCCTCCGGGATACGCGCCCCATACTCTAGTCATTGAGCTTAACTACAAAATGTTCACACCGACCCAAATCTCAACCTATTTTCTACTTCTTTTTTAGGGTTTCGTACTCAAAGGGTAAAACGTGACCATATTACTAAGACTCCGCTGTCTGTCTGTCTGTCCCTCTGTCACCAGGCTGTATCTCAAGAACCGTGATAGTTAGACAGTTGAAATTGCCATTGTGTATTGTGTATCTGTTGCCGTTATAACAACAAATAGTAAAAAACAGAATAAAAAAATATTTAAATGGAACTCGCATACAACAGACATGATTTTTGGCGTTCATATAGATAACTGTACGGAACCTTTCGTGCGCGAGTCCGACTCACTTGGCCGGTTTTTTGCATCTTAAGTGCAGAGTATAGCACTAGAAATAATATAATTTAGATTCTGAAAAAGTTTATTGATAAAGATTAATATGGCATCTCTTTGCGACAGCCATTGTAAAATAATAGACAATAAACATATTTATACGTACACATACATAAAACACGTGAACCGTCTGAAAACCACACTCAAAATGGTTATATAACGAACATACTGGGCCTGATGATGAACGTCTTAATATTTCCTTTCCATATTTGAACTCCGTCTCCATAAAAATGTAACCTTAAGTGGGTGCTCACCGTGTTTAATGTACGGCCATTTAGTAGAGTGTCGTGTAAAGGTCAGGAGTCCATTGTACGCGGCCAAGGGGAGATTTATGGGTGCACAGGACCATCGGGTCGTAAATTTACAATGCTTCGGAACTAGACGGCCATGTCGTAACTGTAGTTGTCGCGCAACGGTGAGCCCAGTGGACGTTTTAAGATCATAATCAAGATGAACTCGTGTGCGCTAACACACCGCATTCGCATTAATCACAACCATGTAATCGCGTTCTTTAATCAAATAACAGTAACCCTACATATTACAATAATTTAGATTTTTAGAACAGATAATATATATGGAATGACGAACCCTACAGGCCTTAATGCAGCAGCATCGCCTAAATGGACAGAAACTTGTTTAATTTAAAAATAAAAGAAAAAAACAGTATAATTGAGGAAAAAGGTGAAAACTAATAAGAACTTAAAAAAAATTATGATAAAGTAAAAGTAAAATAAATAATGAAAACTTTATGGTTATTTTTATTTTAGTCTAATCTGCACTCAATGTGAAACTATGATTTTAACAATGAAGATATTTGCTTTAAATTATTTGCTTTTCAGTCGGTATAGAAATGGAAAAAGTTTGAGGAAAACGATTTTTCACAACATTTTTAAAAACATATCGAAAAGAAGACACTATAAAATCTTGCAGCTAGGCTCTAATAAAAGATTCCAAGGACGATAATGATGATTAATGGTTATGCGTAGAAATTTAGATGTTATTTGTACTTTAATTGAAATGCAGCACGTTAGGGCTGCCCATAGCATCAATTTTATCATATTCTATTCAGACAATCACATAATGTGCAGTGAAATTTAAAACTTTACAACATGAATAAAAACAATATAAATTCACAAGTAGAACTTTATCTCATATGAACAATCATAATAAATATAAACAAAATAAAATAATCAATTTAAAAAAATGACCCCTCATAGATATAACTCAAAATCATTTCATAATGTGTTAAATGTAACCTATAATTATTAGCCCCGGCCAAACCACCAAAAATTGATTTTTAGAGAGTTACGCCCAAATAACTATAATAGATCATTCCTTGAGTGGTTCGTTTACCTGAGACACTTACTTATTCAGCCTTAACAGCCCTAAAGCATAAAAAGATTTCGTAACGAACCTTGTAATAACCCCAAATTGTTGTTTGCTACTTTTAAAGCTTTGTAGCGGTCTTTTAATAAACTCCTAACGAAAAATTAACACACGCAGTGTGGAGAATGACGCTGCCGAAATTACAACCAGTCGCCACTTGAAGATTATGTAAATGGTTTTACAATTACCTTTTACGAATAAATTTTCTGTTCGTTCTTCAGAGAACGTAAAAAATGATATGCTTGCGATTACCTTGTCGAGTCACAAACTCTTTCACATAACCAAAAATGTGAAATTTTGAATGGTAGCCACAAAAATATTTACCGAATTCGAATTTAAAATGTCTTATAAAAATGAAAACGAGCTCTTTTTCGAATTTCATTTATTTTAAATATGGAGTGGACGCTTAACGAAGACCGAGTTGCAACGCGATAATTGCATCGGTGCGGTTACGCGCCAAATAAGATTTTCGAACTACTGATAACATTTAAATATAAACAAAAGATTCGTTTATCGCTCCATCAAACGATACAATTAAAATTTAAGCG